TTTTGTATCTTACATTGTATTTGAGAGGGGCAAGTCAAATGGAACTAGAGCTTCTGTTGGAGTTGGGATGGGAAGGCAAGGAAAGGGTGCTTCAGTCAGCACCAGACTACCACCCTTATGTCCTACTCTGCTGTCTGTGACTCAAACAGGTCCTTCTACTTCAGGCCTGACTTGTTTTAGGCTGCGCCTCCCTCTGTTCCTCTCATAATTTGAGTGATTGCTGAATACACAATACTTAGTACCTAGACAACACAAGATTATATAAATACCTGTGTGCCTTTGTGAAACCCCTCCTCTGAACTGGCAAATAGTTGCTGCTGATCAGCAGTAGGATTCTTCATAATAGTAGTTTTTCAGGGCTCTTCTTCTGTGTCTTTCAGAATGGAATTCTCAGTATTTCATTGTTGATACACATTCTACTAACCACCAAGATTGTTATAATTGTTTTCAGTTAGGTGCCTATACTTACATCCTTTTAATTTTGTTATTATTTTAATTTTTTTTACATCGTTCATTTTTTTTTTGAAGATTTATTTTTATTTATTTATATAAGCATTGGGTACAGTCAGAAGCGCGGGAGGGCGAGAGAATTCACCAGAGCCAGAGCAGGGAGCAGAGCAGGCAGAAGGACCGAAGCACACTGCTGAGGGGAGCAGCAGGTGGCAGGAGAGGTCTGCGCGCCATGTGGGACCCTCCTCCAGTGGCCGGGGAGCAGCCGAGGATCGAACCGGTGCTGCAGAGGCTGTGGGGCGGCTTCGCAACCCAGCGCTCAACTGCTGTGCCAATGGGGAGGCCCCATTGTTCATTTTTAAAGGTGCCTGTACTTATAAATGAAAACTAAAGTGATTTTGACTTGGCTTCTGTTGTCCTAGGTGTTAATAATAATCTCTAGATAGGGCTAGAACTGGGCAATTACATTAACTCTTATTTTTGCCTATGGAGCTTAAAATATTCCTAGAGAGTGATTGTGGCTAGTATGGCAAGCCTGCTTATCAAAATGGACATTTTCCTACTGAGAATAATTTTGGGTGTGGTAAAAGGCTTTGGGATGTTTTAACAGATGGGGAGACATTTGGGGGGGTCTCCCATTTATTGATCTGACTACACGCCAGGCTCTGTGCTCAGCCGGTGCCCTTAGATGTTTGTGCTAAAAATTCTCACAGCAGCCCTTTTGAGTGTTGTTATTTTCGCCTTAAAAGTGGAAAAAGCCAAGACTTGGAAAAGTTAAATAATTTCCCTGAGTCATGATTAGGGAGTGGTAAAGCCAGTTTGCCCATTCAGAAACCAATGTGTAAGATTATTATGTGATTTGAATTCATATTGGACTTTTCCTAAAAACCTCTTTAGTCTGTCTTTCTTTTGCTTCTTATCCAAAGCCTGACAAGCACAAGTCTTAGTTACTTTGTCCAGTGCTCTAATCTTTTTCCACCAAAGTATACACCCTTTAATGGCAAGTTTGCCCAGGAGGGCATATTCAAAAAGTATACTGCAAGTGTAAAATTGTTCTAAAGTTTTATGTTTGAACCAACAGATTAAAACCCATTTCCACTGTGTAAAATAGATATTCCTCCACGAAAGTGTTCTTTTTTTTTAAAAAAAGATTTGTATTTATTTATGCATTGTGGGGTACAGGCCAGGCCAGAGATGTGGGGGGAGAGAGAGGATTCACCTGAGACAGAGTGGGGAGCAGAACATGCAGATCTACTGAAATACACTGCTGAGGGGAGCAGTGGGTGAGACAGGAGAGGTCTGCCTCGCCATGTGGGTTGCTCCCTGGCGGTCCGGGGATCAGCCTCATGCTGCAGAGGCTACGGATTGCTTTATAGTGCGGTGCCTCAGCTTGAGGAGCAACTTTAGGGCTTTCACAGGATGTTGTGATCAAACTCCACCCAAGTGGAGTTTAGGTATAATTCACTAACTTGGTATAGTAGGGGTCAGATGGAAAGGGAGTCACTGACAGTACAGATGGACAACGGTGAGGGGCTGCCCTGAGGAGTGGGGAGTGGGGTTGTGGAGATTTGGGCAGTATGATGAGTGCCTGTTAGCTTAATTATCCTACTTCTCAGTTTAGTTTCTTCTTGGTTTCTGCCACTGGCTTTTCACTTGCTCCCGTTCCTTAACTGCAGGAGTGTCTTCAATCCTTGACCCACTTTTTGAGGCCCCCTACCCTGCCTTTGCACTCTGGCCCAGTGCTTTGGTTTCAGTTGTTTTTTCTGTGTCATTGTTTCCAGTGAACTCCAGTTCAGTGAATTCACATGAACCTAAATTGCTGAAGCAAGTTTGCAGCTACTCAGGGGTATCTGGTGGGCATGAGAATGTCCCAGAATTGGCATCTTTGCTTTCAACTGCTTTCCCTTCTAAAACCAGCTATAACATTATAAGGTGGTATACAAATTGGTAGGAGGAGAAGATTTGCATGGCCATGGTAGTTTAGGCTCAGATCCTTATTTAATTAGCTAAGGGTGTAGAACTCACCAGAAGGTAGGTAGGCAGCCACACTGGCAGGGGCCGGGGCAGCAGAAGGTGACTCTCCTTTCCCTGGCCTGTGGCCAGGAGGCATGCTGCTCCTTGTGATAAGGTCAGGGATTGCATCATGGTTCCAATAGAACTCATAGGAACTATCTGTGTACTTCTTCTTAAGGGAATATTCATAAACTAAACTTAGCTTCCTTAAGGACAAAAACCTCATGGTGAGAAGGAAGGGTTGCATTTCCTCTTAATAGTGACCTTGACTCCAGTCTTCAGTGTCCTGGAAAGCCTACTTCTCTAACTCTCTTCCTTGTTTGATGAAGGTTTATTGCCCTTATCACAGAAGACCTTAATGACTGTATAACCAAATGGTGATCCTAGGGGTTTAAAAAAAAAACACAAAATCCAAACACACACTTTATTGAGGTATGGTTGACGTACAAAAAGTTGAGTGTATTTTTTTTAAAGATTTTATTTTATTTATACAAGAGCTGGGGTACAGGCTAGAGGCACGGAGGGTGAAAGGATTCACCAGAGAAAGAGTGGGGAGCAGAACAGGCAGATGACCGAAAGCACTGCTGAGGGGAGCAGCAGGCGAGACAGGAGAGGTCTGCCGTGCCATGTGGTTTCTCCCTGCCTGGCCGGGAATCGAACCCGCACTGCAGAGGCTGCTGACAGCTTCACAGCGCTGCACTCACCCCGCTGCGCCACCGGGTAGGTCAAAAAGTTGCGTGTATTTAATGTGTACTATTTAATGAGCTTGGAGATAGGTGGGATACACCTGTGAAACCATTATCACAATCGGTGCTGTAAGCTTGTTCGTCACCTCCAAGAATTTCTTCCAGCCCTCTTTATTACTATTATTTTTATTCTATAATAACACATAACACAAGGTAAATCCTCTTAGAAAATTTTTGAGTATCCATGTCATATTGTTAATTAGAGTCTCTGGGCTGTGCCTTAGATTGCGAGGACTTATTTAACTGTAGAACTGAAAATTTGTAACTCCTGTTCATCACCTCCCCATTTCTCCCTCCCCTCAGTGCTGGCAAGCATCATCTGCTTCTGAGTCTGTGTTAGGTTCATCATATAAGTGGTATCATGTAGCTCTGGCACTTCTTATCGTAGTGTCCTCTGGGTTCTCCATGTTGTCATATGGACTAGCACTAGAAATGTCAACATCTCCCTGGTGGTCTTAGGAATTTAGTCACTCAAAGCCTCTGTTTTCTTATATGAAACAGGTTAGTAGCAGTACCCACCCCAAGTGATGGTAGTGAGGAATCAGATAATACCCAAAAGCACTTAGTATAGTACCTGGCATGAAACCAGGGTCAATATGGTCATTGCTAATCATTGTTAGTTAACAGTATTTTAAATACCCATAAAACTGATTTTCCCCATCTCTGTAATCCAGTCATATATATATATGTATATGTATATATGCCAGTAACCATATATATATATATATATATATATATATATATATATATATATAAAAACACTATGCCAGTAACCAAATGCTGGCATATCTTCCTCTTCACAGGGTCTCATATTGTGTTCCTCTGCCTGTATGCCTCCTTCCGCTGCCTTAGCTCAGATTCTCATTGCTCTCTTCTAGACTGTAATAATAAGCCCTTAGCTGATCTTCATGATTTCAGTTCAGACATCATCTTCCTTTCTAGAAGTGGTCATTGACTCTCTGGCTCAACCACAATGAGTCTAATCTACTCTTGACTTAATTTTTTTAAAGGTTTATTTATTTATGCATAGAAGAACTGGGGTACAGGCCAGAGGTGCTGGAGGGTAAGAGCATTCGCCAGAGACAGTGGGCAGCAGGACAGGTGGATTGACTGAAATACACTGCTGAGGGGAGCAGCGGGTGCCACAGGAGAGGTCTGATGAGCCATGTGGGTTACCTCCATGGCTAGGGATCGAACTCATGTTGCAGTAGCTGCGGATTGCTTCATAGTGCTGACACTTAACCCCTTGTGCCGCCAAGGAGGCCCTAGACTATTGGGCATGTCTGTGAAGTGACAGAAGATGCCAACTTAGACAATAAGAGAAAGAAACTGTATGCCTGGTAACACATTCCTATGTCTGGTGGAAAATGATCATATATATATATATATGAGTTTCAGAGGCTCGCATATTTAGCTCATATATGATCATTAGTTTCTTTCTCATTGTCTAATTTGGCATCTTCTGTCGCTTCACAGACATGCCCATTAGTCTTTCACAGGGCCCTTTTGATCCTGAGATGTGGAGCTGGCAAGTGAACTCTTTCTGCTGTAAGATGATCAAGGCGTCAGGGTCACACCCTTCTCTTGACTGGGCCCTGGCCTGCCTTTTGAGGTCTACATTCTGAGAAGTTTCATCACTCTGTTGCTATTATTAATCTAGAATCAAGAGTACTAGAAATCGCTCCAGTCTCCTTATGCTTGAGACCTGTTACAAGTGTTACCCTAATAGTCCCAGACAAGCAGGCGTAGAGCAGGTGCTCAGTAATGTTCCTTATTTATTTTTCCTCTTAGTGTGGAGGTCTTGGCAGTTGCTAAATGGAGTCTTTTACTGGTTAAAAAAAAGTGGAGTACCAGATGCATGTCTTGTTCTCTTCACTCTCTGCTAGCCTGACGGAGGCTTCACTCTCTGCTAGCCTGACGGAGGTAAGCCTTGTGTTTGGGTATATTGGGGATGCACAGAACTCCCTAAGCCTGTTGAAACCGCCTGATTTATAAATAAGGAAATATAAATGTTTTGACTGTAAAACCAAGATTAGTGGTTACCACAAGGAAAGGGGACAAGGAGGTGGGTAATCTGGGTTAAAAAGTAGCAGCTGTGTGGTGAAGGGTAGAATTGGACTTTAGCCCAAATACAGATGCTGATTTATAATGATGCACATCCAAAACCTATAGCCTGTTACAATGCAGTGTTACTTCAATAACATTTAAAAAAGAAATAAATAAAACCCACCGATACTAATTGCCTGAGTTCACTTCACATCTTCTCCTTACCACGACTCATGACAGTAATAGTAACTCTAAAAAATCATTTAGCCGCAGTTCAGGCTTGAATATTCTTGGATTTGATGGCAGGGACATTTTGATGCCAGGAAGCCAAAGGAGGAAGAATTATTAGAGGTGTCTTTGAGGGTAGAGGTTTTGCCCTTATTCTTATATTTCCAGTGCCCATCTGGTGTAAATAAATGATTATTGGGGGCCTCCCTGATGGTGCAAGGGATTAAGACACAGCACTATGAAGCTCTCTGCAGCCGCTGCAGCACGAGTTCGATCCCCGGCCAGGAAGGTGATTCACATGGCGCAGCAGACCTATCCTCCTCAGCAGTGTGTTTCAGTAGATCTGCCTGTTCTGCTCCCCACTCTGTCTCTGGTGAATCCTCTCACCCCCTGCATCTCTGGCCTGCACCCCTGCTCTTGTATGGATAAATAAATAAATCTTTTAAAAAATGATTATTGAGCGAATGTATAGATTTCTTAAAGAGCTTGCTGTACATTTCTGCAATGAACAATACCAAAGGCTAATTCACAGGTTCTTCTCTTGGAGGGAAGAGGGGCAGCTATGCTGCCGACTGTCTCTGAAGGTGTCTGGTTTTTGAGAAAGAGGTTGGAAAGAAAATGGGGATGATGATGGGGTAGAAGGGAGAGATGTGGATTTACTGAGAATTGTCATTAGTATCCTCTTCCTTCTTGAATCACCCCTTAGTGATTCACTCTCTCCTTAGGAGATACTCAGGCCAATATCTAAAATACACACATTTAATCTATGTCTAGATATAAAAATCTTTAAAAAGTGAAACACATAAAAGTGTCCATGTAAGTGTAAAATTTGATGAATTTCACAAGTTGGATGTACTTGTGTGCATAGCACTTTCTACAACTCATTTTCTTTGATTTGTGTAAACAATGCTTGTTAGAACTATTGATCTAAGACATGAATCTAAAGATTCATTTTAATTTTGCTGAAAATAATCTGGCTATTCCTACCTCAGTATTTTCTGACTTAGATGCTCAGTGTCAAGCTTATTATGGACTACAGGAAATCTTGGGGGTCTTGGTCATCTACTAGTCTGCGCAATTTCAGAGGAGAGTCTTGACTTTGCCTCCTTAAGTCTCCCCACAGCTGAGGTGTGTGGCCTTTTTATTCAAGTCTGCATTGTTGTTCTCTTCTGCCTTACACAAGAAACTAGCCCTACCTTAGACTTCCTGTTAAGGCAGATGGAATCGTACATGCCTCACAGCTTCAAAGAGGAGATCTCCAGGTGTCTCAGGCAGGACAAACAGGAGCTCTCTATTGTCGGGTGCAAAGAAAATCATCCCATACCCCTCTGGGTTCTTTCCAGGATAGGTGAGTAACTGCCTCAGAAGATTAGCAGAGGAAAAAACCAGTTTAATAACACATGTATGGGCAATTTACAGGATTGTAAATTCTAAAGAATATTAATAGAGTGGGCCAGGGATTTTTATCTTATGTTTAGGCACCATCGGCATCAGTGAGAGGAAAAAGGGGACACTTCACATGACTGACAAGAGGAGATTACCTTACTCTTAGAGAAGGCACATTCAAACCTCCAGCTGAATGAAATCTCTCAAACTACATTCTTCTTCATCATTAAAGGGGAGGGTGTGATTGCTTCTCAGATCAGGAAAAGAGCAGAAGTTTAGGACATGATCTCTTCCAGTAAGGAAGTTTGGATGACTTAGGTGAGGACAGAAGCTTCTAGTAGCCTCACTCCTCTCAAGTGAAAACAATCTCATTCTTTAACAGTGGTTATAGGCAGCCCAGAGGCTCCTGGGCCTCCACTGATCTTTGATTCTCATACCAAGGTGATAAGAAGCCTACCCTGGGCCCATTGAGAAAAACCTATCTGACTCATTCAGTGTTTATCAGGGAAATAGCAATATTAAGGGAGGAGGGCTTAGAGGAGATCATATGTTACACTAGATACTTTAAAATATACGCCTGGATTAAGCGAGATTTGCAAAAGATCAGTATTCTTAACATCACATTTCATTGACATATCGCAGTTGCGTGATAGTATCAGGTGTTGTTGTGGACAGTGCTCCAGAAATCTACTAGAGCTGTTACAGATCCTCTGGCTCCCTCACTTGTTATTTTTCTTTCTCAAATAAGGTGAGGGTTTCAGAGACTGACTGTGTCATTAAGTGAAATTTTCTGCAAGTTTCTATGCTCCCTCCAAAAAGATAGACTGCATATCTTCAAGGAGGGAAAGGCACATTGCAAGTCTTCCTAAATCCCTTTTGCTCGGGATCCATATTTGTGAGCTCTTCTATGTTTTTCTGAATTATGCACATAAAATTAAGCTCAGGGAATAAAATTAAAGCTCAGGGCCTAAAACCCTGTATCCATTTACCCTGGGCCAGCTGCTTAGCCCATCTGAGTCTAAATATGCTCATCTGTAATTTAAGGGTAAACAGCCTATGTTTTGTAAGGTTGTTGTAGAAATTGAATGAGTATTTATGGGAGAGTCTTAGAACAGGTTTTTTTTTTTTTTTTTTTTTTTGCTTGTAATACTGTTATTCATTTTTGTTATTGAGAAAAATCTGGGTTTGATTCTGATTGATAAAAGAGTAAATCACAAACTTCAATAGTTTACAACACAATTCAGTCTCATCTTAATATACCAACTTCCTATATTATCCATACATACCCAAATATTCCCTGAATTGAAGCATTGCCTTGTGTTTTTATTATGCAGATTAGTTATAATATGTTTTGTTTCTAGGGAACACTTTTTGCATTATAATGATAAAGACATCAGTCTGGAACTAGTGAAACATTACAATTGTTATAGGACAGGGAGAGGGGCAGCCCAAACCCCGCAAACCTGCCTATTCTAAATGGGTTCTGCCATCCGCCGCATCAACACAAAACATATGAGACTTTAATGGGAAGGAACTTTAATAAAACTAGGAAACAATACAGGAAAGGTAAAAAGTCTAGTTTCTAAATGAAGCACCCAAAGCTACCCATCCCCTCGTGGGTAAAAGTCTATCCAAATGGGATTGGCCCAGAGCAAGGCCCCAAAGCCTGCCACAAGTTTAAAGCATCTTCCAGTGGGGATCCACAGCAAAGGGTCAGAAATAACCAGACAAGCCCGGAAGGAAAAGAGCAAAATCAACATTAAGATAAAAGCTGTCATTGTCACCTCCCCATGGGTCTCACCCACATTTGTGTCACCCAGTCCACGACCAAAAGACAAGCGCAGTTTCTTAGGCAGGTTTGCGGGGTTTGGCCTGCCCCTCTCCCTGTCCTATAACACAATCTTTGCACTATTTGATTTGTTTGAGAGGCTGAGTGCTTTAGCATAACAATGGGAAGAAAATTAAAGGTGATCAAATGTTTGAGGAAGTCCTGATAGTTATGGGGGAAAAGAAGGTCCTTACTTTTTGGGCAAAAGCTAGTTATAATTAGAGGTGAATTTGCTTGCTACTGTTATTATTAAGAAGGAGAGGTAGTTTTTTTGTCTCTTAGCCCCTAACGTTTCCACAGCTGTTTTGTAATATAGATGTCTTTTAGAAATTTAAAATGCAGGCATTAATTTGATATAACTCCAGCCTGCATTTCCCCCTGCACTTTGTCAGAATTTCTCTCTGGCTCATTATGTTCCAGTCACACTTTCTTTAACATCTTGGGCCCCTTTCTTCCTCAGATCCTGTGTATTCTCTACTAGAAGGCACACATCTCTCTCCTGACTGTTCTCCCAGTTCTGCCCACCCAGTGATTCACGCCTGTGTAATTTTACCCTCTTACAGAAACTGCCCCTTTTGCTCACGTATGTTCCCCTCTTATATTTGTCCACTCTTAAATAGTATTACCTGTTTTACTTTCACTGTGCTTATTATATCTAGTAGTTTTTTTTTTATTTTTTTATTTATAGAGGCATGTTTTATTTATTTATTTGTTTGTTTGTTTGTTTTGTTTATACATGCACTGGGTACAGTCAGAAGCGCGGAAGGGTGAGAGAATTCACCAGAGCCAGAGCAGGGAGCAGAGCAGGCAGAAGGACCGAAGTACACTGCTGAGGGGAGCAGCGGGCGGCAGGAGAGGTCTGCGCACCATGCGGGACCCTCCTCTGGTGGCAGGGGAGCAGCCGGGGATCGAACCGGCGCCGCAGAGGCCGCAGGCAGCTTCGCAACCCAGCGCTCAACCGCTGCACCACCGGGGAGGCCCTATATCTAGTAGTTTGTTTATTGACTATTTAACTAAGTGCGTGTTTTGTCTTTTTTTCCTTGCTAGACTGTAAGTTCTAAGAAGGCAAGGGATGTATCTGTTTTGTTCACCAATGAATGGTTGTGATTGTACCTGTTGCAGATACACCTCAGTGAAGAGGAGGTGCTGTTTTCCCTGCCCCCACTTACTTGCAGCTGCCTGGGACTACAGGTAGTGGGCTGTGAAGGAGACTTCTGAGGGAGGGAGCTTCTGGGAACGAGGCAGGGTGCTGAGTGGCCAGACAGACCTACATAACATGAAGGCAGGCAGGACTGCCTGCTCTTGCTCCTCTGGTATTGCTGGGAAGGAGATTTGGAGGAGAGACTTGTGGGAGACTTGGGAAAGACATGGGGAGATGGACAGTGGCAACTGTTATCTTGATGTGGTATCTCCTTCTGTCCCAGCTCTCTAAAAC